TTCCCCGGGGTGCCGCTCGATGGGGCCCCGGAAGATTTGGCAGGTCTTGCGATGCCCCGACAGGAGGAGGAAGACGACGGTGCACGAGTGGGTGGACAGAGCAGGGGTCGTGGGAGTCAGCAGTCTCGTGCTATCGCCAGGGGCCCGCGGGCGTCGCCTCCCGGACCCCGGGGATAACCTGGGCGTCGCCCTCAGCTTCGCGAGGGCCAGGGCTCGGGCGAATTTCGGCGATTGACGCGAGTGCGTTCAGTCGCCTTTTCGGCCGTTCGTGATGTTGGCTCGCGTTCTACGTGTCTTCTCGATTGGGCGCGCGACGCCCCTGGTGGATAAGTCAAAGCGAGCTCCAGAAGCAGGGGGGGGGAGGTCGAGTTCTGCTTCGTTGGGCGTTTCTTCAGCAGCTGGAGAACAGGCGTGCGGCCCCCGCTGCCGATCAAGCTCGAGCAGGCCAAACGGACGCCGCGCGGGGCGAGTCGGACGGCGCGACCTCGGAGGGGGATGGCGGCCCGCCCATGGAGGACTGGATCCTGAGGCGCAGGCAGCACCTTGCGGGGATGGCAGGTGGGCCAGGCACGCAGAATGTTTCGGTCTTAAAAAGAAGTCCGGTCTGCGAACGCACTTCGACTCAGCGTCGCAGGCTGCGTCGAGGGCTTGTCGACTACGCCGAGGAGCACATGCTGTCGACCGACAAGGTGCAGGATTTCGGCCGCCGTCGCGTTCATGACGCGCATGTATTTGCTGGGGTGCGACGGTGGAGTCGGCCAGAAACTGATCGCCGCGACGGCGTTCTTCCTGCCGCGGTTCGGCGAGCTGGGCGATCTCTCGGTGCCGAGGGCGTGGAGGGCCGCCAGGGGGTGGGTCAAGCTCGCCTCGCCTCGCAGCCATCGGCCTCCCACGCGGCCGACGGCGGCGGCCGTCGCGACCCTTCTGGCGGGAGCTGGCCGCCTCAACGTGGGCATTTGGGTCATCATCGGTCTTGGCACGCACCTCGGACCGGGCTCTATGATGGAGCTCGCGAAGGGCTTTCTGGTTTCTCCCGCGATGAAGGTCAGCTCGCTCTGGCGCGTGCCGGCGCGTCGTTCCGACCTCCGCCGGGTCTTCGAAAGTCGGCGCGCAGGGCGATGCGACCCCGCGGGGTGTTAAAGGGGCTCGGATGGATGAGTGGATTTGTTGCAGGTTCTGGCCGTGGGCAAGAGGACCGATCGTTTGTAACATTGCTCTTATCCTAAGATGATCAAAGAAATCAGAGAGCAGGGGGTGCTACTTGGCCAAGATATCGTCCTTTAAACAACTTCGCCATGCTGCAGCCTCGCGGAGTATTTATCATAAGTATCGTGGCCACTCTGGGGTGCAGCGTCGAGATGGCTCGACGTCGGCCAAGTCAGTACAGCGTTACGAAAAGTTTAGCTTGATGATGAAGGACTATGCCGTGCTTCTCCGGGCGGTGAGGACGCGCATGGAGGAGCGTGCCATCGGCCTGAAACATGTTTTCTTGACAGGCCACGCCCTGCCGCAGCCGCCGAGGCTTCCTCTGAACGTTAGTAGCAAGCGTTTACCCAACCCTCAATGTGCGTCAAAGTAGTGTACACATTCGATATTGCTGTGATGTGGGTGAGAAGCGCCGAGGGCATTGCCCCCAGGATTCGTGCGTGGACAGTCTCAGGACGGCGCTGGCATCAGAACCTAAGGGACCTTAAAACAGAATTTGCGGGGATCATGTGCGTTGTACGTGAATGATCGGAGCATGCTCGTAATCAGTTGTTCGGCTCCCCGTCGCCTACCCAACGCCTTTTTCGTGTCTTCTCAGCGCCGAGAGCCTTGCCCCCCATGGTTCGTGCGTGGACAGTCTCAGGACGGCGCTGGCCTCAGAACCTACGGGACCTTATAATTGAGCGTGCGGGGATCATCCTGCCCCTCCCGCTCCTTCCACTCCAGTTCCTGATGCTGCTGTTCGTCCTCGTCCACCTCCTTGCTCATTCTCCGTCTTCTCCTCCTCCTTCTCCTCATTATCTTTCTCTTTTTACTTATTTTCCTCCTGCTCACCCGCCACATATTGTTATGTACGGAGCTCCCCATTTCCAATTTCGCTTGTCACGATGGGGTTTGTTTTGGAGTTCCAGGTTATGGCACATTTCCGCGGATATAGAGACAACTCACTTCAGTGCAATGGGAAGGATAGTAGGTAGGGATAGGATGCCAGATGTGGTGCGAGCGCCCCTAGCTTGCCTCCTCCTTCTCGCCGTGCCCTTTCTCCGGCTCGTGCGGGACAAAGCCGCTCGGCCCCGGAGCTTTGTGAGCCAGGGGGGCAGACCAGGTGAACGGGCCCGCGTGCGCGGGAAGGTTTTTCGATGAGACAGAGCAGCCAGCTCTTACGTATTTCCGACTTCTCATCGTGTTGCCTTCGCTTTACTTTGGGGCCCATGCGGGCCCAGTCCACGCTGGGGCACCAGACCCCCCAGCAGGGGTCCCAAACGGCTGCGCACGTCGTCCGCATTTGTGAGCGGCCCGCTGGTGCTGTCAGAAATTCGGCCTTCGATGCACGCGGCCCCTCTCGCCATCCTCTAGGCTCCAACTGTTTTTTTCATTATCCTACAGTCAAAGCGCATAGACATGATGCTCATCATCTTTCCAAGGTTACCTTTGCATCCTTGCCGTTCTGCCCATCCTTGGCCACTTTCGCTAGCCGCGCCCCGCCCGAAAAGTTGCGCCATGGCCTTTTCAGGTCTTGCATTCTTACCGCGCATCTTCATTATGCGTTTTGATATTCCTTCACTTGCTTTCTCATCCTCCTTGCTCGTTCGGTCGCTCGCTACCTAATGATGTCCGAGAGCAACGCCGCGAAGTCCCGAAAGGAGAACAGATTCGCATGCAGAGGCGACGAGGACCCACAACACCCCGGCGCAGGACGGGCCCCAAGCCAACGCACCCACACATGAGGGGAGACGCAGCGGAGGACGAGAGAAAAACGAGAGCCGAAGACAAAGAAACGGCAGAAACATGAGTTGTTGGAGCTCCGCGCGGAGTTCTTGGAGCTGCGGTGGACCCCCCGCCTTGGCGCGCGGAGTGCGCCAAGGGCGGCGCCAGAGGCGCCACCCCAGCGCAGACCGAAGACAGCCGCGCGGAGCTCCCAAAACTGACGGTTTTGCCGTTATTGTTTCCTCCAGGGAGAGCGGGAGGCCGCAGGGGGGGCTGCGCAGGCCCAGGGCCCGTCGGCCCCACAACAAATACCACGCCTTGCCCACCGGGAGGACGCCCTCGACAGCAGGGCCCCCTTGCCGTTGCCGCCGAGGGCCAAGGCCCAAGATTCCCAGCCGAAGCCAGCAATCAGTACACGCCAGTCGTTGAATGACAATTTCTTCATGGGAAGCGTAAAACTCGAGTGCGGCGGAACTCGGGTTCACCTACGTTCTTTTTACGAGCCCGCCCTGGATTTTGACGGTCCAGTTTTCGTGGGATGTCTGCACTTGCGGCTTTGCGACCCCAGCGCGTGCCTGGGCCAAAGAGGTTTCTTCCTACTCCTCCTCCCTCCTCCTCCTCCTCCTCCTCCTCCTTCTCCTCCTCCTTCTCCTCCTCCTCCTCCTCCTCCTCCTCCTCCTCCCTCATCCATTCATTTTCCTTGTAACTTCTCCCTGTAGCACCCCGAGGCCTGTTTTCAGGGCGGGCCGGGCGTCTCGCCTGAGACCCCCCCAGCATTTTAGACCCTGAAGCTTAAAAAGTGGCAACAGCTTCGCAGATTGAGGGCGGGTGGTCTTCAACATGTGGCTCTCGCTTTAGCGCCGCGCACATACATTTTAAGATAACATGCAAGAGTTTCACGGATTGAGGGCGGGCGGTTTTCAACATGTGGCTCTCGCCTTAGCGCCGCGCGCACTTGTTTTAAACATGTGCAAGAGCTTCACGGATTGAGGGCGGTTTCTTTTGTGGTTCTTGTTTTAAAGCCGCGCACACTCGTTTCAAGGATTGAGGGCGGGGGGTTTTCAACATGTGGCTCTCGCCTTAGCGCCGCGCACATTCGTTTGAAAGCTTGCAAGAGATTCACGGAATGAGGGCGGCTCATTTTCAAAATTTGGCTCTCGCTTTTGCGCCGCGCACATTCGTTGTCTAATAAGAAATTGCAAGATTTCACGGGATCCAATGATCAACGTACCAGAAGTGGCGTTTTGTAAAGATTCGGGACATGAGGGTGCCACAGTGACGTTGATTCGCGGTGCTGAAGTCCTAGGAATGGGTGTTTAGTACGATTCAGGATCGTCAAGACGCAACAGTCAGGTCGATCCATGGCGTTGGAGTCCCGAGAATAATGTTTTGGCATGCTTCAGGGTCTTCAAACGGTTGTCTTCCAACGAGGCAGTTCCTTAAGTGGAACTGAACCGTTGTAGGGGCCTATGAAGAGGGAATTTGGAGGGAGGGTTTATTCAAACATCGTTGATGACTCTTGGGTTTACGCTGGTCCCTCCTCCTCATCCCACTGATCGTCGATGGGGGCACGATAGCCCACCTCGCCGAGGAGCGTGCTGGTTCGCCATCAGAGGCTGTCGCCGATTTAACAGCGATGCATCGCTGATACGAGGTCCACGTCTCCCCCCCTGAGCCGGTCCCCCCCCCCCCCACCGTTAGTTGCCCTTCTGTTCTCGGGTCATACCTTGAGTCGGCGGCGGCCGTTCGCGACGATCTGGGTAACCCAACGGAACGCTCTCGGCGAGGCGCAGCTGTTGGAAGACTTCCGGAGGCTGGAAAACCGCCGATCATTGACGAAAACGTCCTAAAGCCTTGATTTTCGAACCCCGCCGTTGTTCCACCTCGCATCGAGTAGTGTCGACCACGCGCCGAGCGGGGTAAGAGGAGGACTGAAGGCTTCTGAGAAGCAGGCTGCTTCTGAGACGTCTTCCCTCCCCCTCCCCTGTGCGCGCGCCACCAAGGGTGGGCGTGCGGAGGCCAGAGGCGGGCGAGCGGACGGCGAGCCGGGGCCCCTCTGCGGCGCCCCAGCGCAACCCCGGGCACAGGTTCGTGCTGACTTCCCGCAGCTACATCCGCACGGCCACGCGGGTGAAGGACGGGCCAGCGCTTTTTCGAGGAGAAGGAGGGCGAGGAAGAGAGGAGGAGGAGGAGGAGGAGGAGGAGGAGGAGGAGGAGGAGGAGGAGGAGGAGGAGGAGGAGGAGGAAGAGGGGGACAGAGGGGAGAGGAGAGAGGTTAGAGGAGAAAGGAGAGAGGAGAGAGGAGGAGAGAGGAGGAGAGAGGAGGAGAGAGGCGGAGGAGGAGGAGGAGGAGGAGGAGGAGGAGGAGGAGGAGAAAGAGTTTTCATTGGGCAAGGTCTCGATGACCGACGGGAGAGATCACGAACGAGCGGCGGCGGCGGAGGAGGGGGGGGCTACGTCGGCGTTGAACGCGCCGCGGCGGGCCGCGGCCACGGCGCGCACCCCCCTTTGCCCAATCCCACTCTCCCTCTTCTCCTGCCGCTCTCGACCCCAAACGCACGATCCTGGCAGAAGGTCTCTACATATCCTACCCAGGTTCTGGCCACCCGCACGAGACAAACGAAATGAACATTCGGTCGCCAGTTCTCTCAGCTGGCTGGTATAATATCAACCACATACAGTACAACACAACACATCTTTGTCAGGCCAGAATCACAGCTGGTGAGAACGGTGCACTTTCCTCGAGCGGACACACACACACGGCCCCTGTGGGCCGAAAGATCGCACCCGTCCAGGACATCGGTCGGCAGGGGGCCCCAAGGAAAGCCGTGAGCTCGTTGGATTTCGCACGGCACCCACACTTCCGGCACTGACCAACATCACACGCGATCTGCGGGCAATTCTGTTCTGAATTGAGAGTTGCAGTCCTGAGCAACTTAGCTCTAGTATTACGAATCCGAGCTTTGGGCGGACGGGGGGGCTTCTTGCTCTCCTTCTCCAACACATCATTCATAACATGGACAAGGTGGTTCTGAACCTTTCGCGTGATCGCATCGGCCATCCTGACCTGCGCTCACAGCATAGCGAACCCTCACATCCTTTTCAACAACTCCAGCAATCTGGTCGGCGATAGCGTTAGCCACAATGAAGCTTGGACTGAGGCCCCTGTCAAGAGCTTCCTTGGTTTCCGGTTGGCTCGGCACACGGACAAGGAGCAGGTCCTTAGCGCGAAGCAGCTCACGCACACGCGACCACAAGTCACGGTGGCTCGAAACGCAGGGACACGTGCCAGCCGCAATGCGAGAGACCCCACGGGCGACGTAGGCCGAGTCGGCCACATAGCCAATCTGGGTTCCCTCAGGGCTCTGCTCCAAAAACTTCAGAAGGGCCCAGAGCTCCCCACGGTTCACGCTGTGCTTACCCGCAATGCCCCCTCCAGCGACAAGGGCAAGATTGGATGCGGCAACCGAATTGGGGAACTCCTCTAAACTCCCAAGACACCCGTCTTAGCCTACGATCCCTCGAGAACTCCCCACCACTGGCGCCCCCCGCTCCCCAGATGCGACGCCCCTCCACCTGGGGAAAGGCACCTGACGCAGCGAAGTGCGAGGCGAGTCGGGGGGAGGAGGAGCGTGGGTCCAGGACTTGGGTGTGAGGCCGCGGGGCCAGAGAACGGGACACTCGCTGGCCGCTGTGCACCCACGGCGCGCGAAGGCTTCCGAGATCTCCTGAAGCTCCGAATTACGAGGGCACTCCCAGAATATGTGAGCGCCCGTCTCCACCGAAACGCCACATTCCGGGCAAAGTTCAGCACAGTCTCCTCCCGCGCTGATGATGCGAGAGCGCGTCCACACTGCTCCTGTCAGAATCGCTCGCAAAAAGGCCAGCCTGCTGGACGTCCTTTTTCCGCAAGCTAGCTAGATGACGGCGAGCGATCGTGACATCAATGCCGTTCTCAGCACCGAGACCGTTGCGAAACTTGGAGGCTCCTGCCCAAAGATGGGCTTCGATCGAATTCGCCACTTCCTGCTTGAATTCGGAGGTCATATAAGCCACGGGTCGAAACTCGCCGGGGATAGCGATGGATAGCGCACGCATGTCCCGTCGGCGCCGCCAAGTTCCATGGCCCCTCCAACGACCGATGTTTCAAAAACTTTGAATCACCCATAGGTTTTGGAAGATCTCGTTTTTTTGTGTCCGATGGGCCCATGAGGCCTCAGGGTAGTCAATGAATGGCCCTAGAGGAGGCCCGCTTAGGGCCAAGACGGTCGACTGGGCCCCCAAGACGCTTCAAGATGATTCCGAGGGCTGAAGGTGGTTTCGAGACAGCTTCCAGGCCGCCAGAACGGCCCCAGACGGCCTCCGGATGGCCCCAGACGGTTCCAGATGGCATCAGGACGGTCTCATTAGGCCACCAAGAAGTTTCCAAGAGGTTTCCAAGAGACCCTTGGTCGCGGTCCCTCTTGTGCGTTACGCGCGGTTCCAAGACATGTAGAACCCAACAGCGTGCGAAGCGCTTGCGCGCGATGGTTCTAGTGTATGTGTATGCATGCATATGCGCAGTGTTGATTGCGTTAGCTCAGATGCTCCTATTATTTGCGTACGGTGTCTTGGGGTCGCATCGCATCAATATATCATCACCACAACTCGTTCTAGAGTTGATTTGGGCGAAGGGTAGCTACAGGTTTGCCGAGCTCAGTTCAGCTAGCCTTGACCGCGCAAGCGTAAGCGTAGCCCTGCCTGGGCTTGGCTGAGCTGAGCCAGGTCATGCTAAGTTGACCGAACTACGCTATGCTGCTCTTCGAGAAGCTGCGCCACGCTATGCCGAGGCCACGCCAAGCCCAGCGGCGCCAATGTTTCACCTCCCCACGATCATTCCGTGCAGAGTTGGTTGTTCGTGCTCGCTCGGCCTTGGAGGCTAATATTCACCGGTGCGTCGTTCGGTGCGTGAGCGTCGCCTTGAGTACAGCTTGCGCGGCAGAGTACATCCCATCAGCAGAGTTCTTTTGGTCGGGCGACGTCACCTGAACGCCTCACGGATCTCCGCCTGACCAATCACGATCCCAAGATCGGTGTCGTGTACGTGTCCCTGGCCAAGCCATGAGGGCGTATACACCGATCCAGGGCACAGAATGGGTCCAGCCAGGATCGGTGATGTGGACAGTTGACGTGCCCCGATTTGTGGCACACTTGCTTCGCAGCACCTGTATTCGACCTCGGTATGCGCGTGCTCCTCAGCAAGGATACCATCATCGCCCAGGTGGTCACCCGCGGGGGCGCGAAGATCATCGCGCTTTGCGTGTCGCGGCCTGGGCCAGAGCGGCTGCCATTCTCCAAGGCGGCCGCACGGGAGCGCGAGGGCGCGAAGATAATCGCGCATCGCGGGATGCGATGCGCGAAGTTGGGTGACCCTCTGGTGTCCGGAGTCAGCCCGAGCGGGGGTCAGCCAGTCACCTCTGGCTGACCCGGGTCTGGGGGCCACGTGGCCCGGGTTTGGGAGCTGCTGAGCGGCCGGCCAGGCTTCGCGACAGGGGCCCTGTCGCGGGCATCGCAGCGTGGGTCGCGGTGTTGGGCGATCCTCTCACGGGAGGGCCGAGCGCAGCGCTCGAAGCGCAACCCAACTCAAGAATGGCATCATTCTGGGCAGAGTGCCCCGCGATGCGCCCATGCGGCGGACATGGCCCCCCCGCTGGGCTCATTTCGATTCCTCCGATTCGATTCGATTTCGATGTGTTCTGATTCTTCAAGCTTACGCCACATCCGCCGACCCCTTGTTTTTTTTTCTGGGGCGATGCGCGCACGGGGGCGAAAAAGTTTGAATGCTCCGCGTGCCCACCGAACGGGGACGGGAAGAAACCAGCGTTTTCAGACGGGGGCCATTTGTCGAAAGACCAGAAGAAGAATTATTTCAAGCGAAACAACCCAGTTGTGTGCGCGAAGTGTTTTAAAGCGGGACGAGCGCCGCGGAGAGACCCTCCGAAACGCCCGGCGGAACCAAGTGACGAGCATTGCGACAAGGCACGGAAGTTGCGAGGAATCTGACCGCTGGGGACGGGATGGATAAGGGGGACGTGGAGGAGGGAGGATGGGGGAGCAGCCAAAGGCGGAGAAGGTGAAAAGTGAGCCAGTGGAGGGAATACGAGACAGAAAGCTGAGAGGGGAGACGGGAGGAGGGGGCGGAAGAGGAGGATGAGAAGGAGCAGGAGAACACGACGAGGACGACAATGGCGGCGACAGACTCGACGGCGTAGGCTGGGCACCTTTTTGGGGCCATCTTGGGGGCTTCGTTGACCGTTGTGGGAGCCTCTGGCGCCGTCGTCGTGAGAATCCTCTCGGGGGCCTGCGGGAGGCAGTTTGGAGGCTTCTGGGGAGCTGTTTTGGGGCAGCTTGGGGCTTTTTTTGGGCTTGTTGGGGGCCTCTTGGGGGCTTCTTGGAGCCTCTTGGAGGCCTCTTGGGGCCTCCTTGGCGCCTTTTGGGGCGGAAGGCTAGAATTTTAGGTTCGTGGTCCCCGTCTGGAGCCTTTCTTGGGCCCCTCTGTGGGCCCTATTGGACTGTCTGAAGGCCCGGAGCCTATTGGAGGCCTCTTGGGGCCTCCTTGGCGCCTTTTGGGGCGGAAGGCTAGAATTTTAGGTTCGTGGTCCCCGTCTGGAGCCTTTCTTGGGCCCCTCTGTGGGCCCTCTTGGACTGTCTGAAGGCCCTCTTGAGCCGTTTTGAGGCGCTCTTGGGCCGTGTTGGGGC